ATCAACATCCTAATGAGTGATATACACATATACTCACTGGCCACTTTATTAGGGACACCTGTTCAACTGCTTGTTAACACAAAAGTCTAATCAAGCAATCATGTGGCAGAAATTTAATGCATTTAGATACATAGACATGGTCAAGATGGGACCATGAAGTTCAAACTGAGCATCAGGATAGAGGAGAAAGTTGATTCATATTTAAGTGATTTTGAACTTAGCACGGTTCTTGGTGCCAGACCAGTGTTTAAGAATCTGCTGATCTGCTGGGATTTTCCCACACAACCATCTCTAGAGTTCACAGAGAATTAGCCAAAATAGATAAAACATGCAGTGAGCAGCAGTTCTCTGAGTGAAAATGCCTTGATGGTGTCAGCGGTCAGCGGAGAATGGCTAGACTGCTTCAAGTTGCTAGAAAGGCAATAAGTCAAATAGCCGCTTGTTCCAACCAAGGTACGCAGAAAAGCATCTCTGAACACACAACACATTGAAGCTTGAGGCAGATGGGCTACAGCAGTTGAAACAAACAACTGTGCAGGGAAAATACTATTAGCTTGTTTAGGCCGGCTTTGAAAAAAGTAGCTTTAAATGTTTGCGGGCTGGCTTAATCCCTGCGTTTGAATTAAATTAAAAGGAGCCAGCTTTGTTAATGAACATATGGCAGCTCGACAGCTTTTAAAATAGTGAAAGTAAAGAATAAAATTAAAGGTTAGGGTTGTTTTAGTCAAGCTGTAAATGTAGTCAGGCCACACTGGCACACATCAGTCCATGCTCTGCTATTTTTTATGTAGCCAGCTGGGAGAGTCACCATTTATGTGTATTTTCTAAATGATACAGTGTTCAGGCTGCACAGTTTTAATAATAGGAATGTAAAGAATCACTTATAGCAAAGATACATGAAAATAAAATGTAAGAAACATTGTTTACTTCTATGTTCCATATTAACCCTCCATGTCTTTTGACACAGTAGATGGCAAAAAGAGCCAAATGTGGCTCTGGAGCGGCAAACTGGAGACACCTGCTCAGTACACGGACTGAAGACAGTACTGCAACTCAACCATAAGAGGGCAGTGTTTGTTTTCAGTACAGCTAATTCTTCCTAAGAACTTTTATTTTAAGTATTGTGAACTCCAATGCTTGAGTGCTTTCACACTGACAAGCAAGGACAACAAGCTTAGTGAGCCAGTAGGAGGAGGATATGTCAATGTTAACCCACAGAGGCAGATTCCTGGGAGGATGTTTTCTTCAGTTTAACTGTTACATTTTGATCTTTACTGTACAAAAATCGAGCGCAGTCTGCAGGCTCAATGTGAATATTAGCAAAATGCAAACTGGCGCAGCGCTGTGCTCGATCGAAAATCAACCAATCGTGAACATCCTGTACAACAACATGTAAGGGAATTAACTAAAGCATGCGGCGTGAAACACGGCGAATATCTCAGCACTGTGACCTTCGTGTTTTTAGGAGACGTACCTCTTTAGTGATATATCCGTCTTTATTGATATCATAAAGGTTGAAGGCCCAGTTGAGTTTTTCCTGGACTGTGCCACGCAGGAGGATAGAGAGACCCATGACAAAATCCTGTAATGGAAACACAACTTACTGACAAATGTGCAAAACATCCCAGCTTTAACTCAACAACGACGCATGAGACACTTTCTACGTGAGGCACTTCAACCGATTCCAACCTTTCTGTGAGGATGCCGTCCTCTATCACGTATTCATTAGAGGAAAATGATGAAACGGCAAAAGTGGAGCTATCATAAATCAAAAATAGCTCATTATTCAAATGTTTAGTCGACTGGTATTCAGTGTCAGTCCTCAGGGAGATCTTGTACTTCAGAACAGAGTGGACCGCACATTAGGCAGGGAAACTTTGGTTTGGCATAATGACAGCTGTTCCCTGTTCTCTCCTAATAAGCAAATAAGTGCCCTTCATAAATATTAATCAAATGTTGAGCATCTTGAGTAAACTTGATGAGGCTAGATTTTTTTTTCTATAAAGGGGGTTGCAGGTTACATAATGATTGAGTGTAAAGCCTCGTCTGTAGGAGCGTTTGATGCGCACGCCTTTTCGACAGCGAACCCACAAACTGGTCGAGTTTTAAGACACTGAGAAATGAACAATCTGGCAACTCTGGGCTTACCTCAAAACTCACAGAGCCATTGTGATCCGTGTCAAAAGCATTGAACAGGAAGTGTGCGTATGTCGAAGCATCTATGGAGAGAACAAACAACCAATCACAGAACATCTGTCGTGATTACGGCTCGCTGGCAGTGGTGGCTACTGCAAACAAGAAAAAGGTTCAAAGCGGAGACTGTTTTTTCTTTTTCACTTCAAAGAAAACAGGCTCGCGATGAGAGGGAAGAACAGTGTGCTTAGAGCTAAGGGTTTTATCATTGTTTCCTCTGTGCTGTGCCATTATGTTCACTGGCCTGCCTTTCTTCTCTCTGAACAGATATATCAAAGCTTCCTAATGTTTCCTCTGTTCCTCCTCGGGTAGAATCTTTGCATAATGATGAGAGCCAACGGAGAGAAACTCAAGGCTGCCTGAATACAAACTTCTCTTCTCCCTCTGTCTCTCACCGACACTGCGTTTTCATGGGAGGCGAGGAAACCTAACGTACTCCGGACATAGTGCAATTTTTGTAAACATGCATGAATGCGGGAGCTCTTGGGAAAGGGAAAGCATGCTGGGAAAACAAAGCAGCAGGTACAGACCTCCTTGCGGGAAGAACTGTGCGTAGATGTCTTTAAAAGTGTCTTCGTTGACGACCCCGCTGGGACATTCCTGCAAGACAAAATGGAGATGCGCAGGTTATCTGACATCTATGTTTACAGTCCTAGCCTTAAACTTGAGTTCACATAGTGCCAATCACGGTCACGTCTCACTAAAAACAGGGCACCTCTGAGAACAATAAAGTCGGCTAGCAGTGGGAAGATGTCTTTAAATGAAAAACAACATATTCCACCAATGACTGACCATCGAATCCTCAGCAGCTATCTCGTCCATGCCTGTGGTTATCTGGCAGCATTCACTGGAAAAGACTGAATAGTAACACACCCAAGAATTGTGCGTGTGTCTCTATTCAAACAATCAAAGTAGCGGATGACCTTGCAGCGTGGTGATGGAGGCAAATAGTTTTACAGGTTTGATTCTGCGGCACACACTGGGAAAGTTACCCCCTACATGGGCAATTTCCAGGGCAGGAGCCTCGTGTTTCTCTGTATTTTATGGAAGAAAATAGCCAACAGCAGCGAGGGCTTTTATTGGAAATCAAATATAAAAAAACAAAACAAAACAAAACACGGTGTGGATGCAAATGAGAACACCTCTATGATAGAAGGACTTCTGAAGCTACATTGTGCTTTTGAACTTGCATCAACATCAACATATTCTATTCCCTTTCACGAAAGTCAAAAGTAGACACGTTAAAAGGCTCTCTGAGTAACCTCACTAGAATTAAAGGGCACGCCGGGTTTCCTGCTTCCCGTGACCACGTCTCATCAGCCACTTTGGGAAACAGTGCGGTGAGGGGAAGAAAATAAAGACGAAACTTTCATCGTCTTGCTTCAAACGGGCGTCTTGTGTTTCAAGTTAAGAGGATGCTGCAAGGTTGTCTGCGTAAGTCCCCTGACACCCTCCTTCTTCTTGGTCTCACAGACTCCGCTGAATATCTTGCAGGGTGAGGCGAGAGAGAAGTTAAGCGAGAAGTTAAGCGAGACAGAATGTGCACAAGTCTGTCTCTGCGTTGTCATTTGGCAGGCTCTAACCTGATTTGTGAAGTCGGAAAGTCGTTGCTTGGACTAGCGTGTATGAATCATAATGATGTACAATGAGGAAAATTACTCTCCATCATGGTTGGAATAAATGACACCTAATTATAAAATTATAAAAGTATTCAGGCTGTTAATTTATAAGTATTGATCTTTATTCCTGGTAAAACAAAAGACTGCAGCTGCAAAGAAAACAATTAGTGCTTTTTGACTTAGAAAAGTACGACATTGCTGTGATATGTGGATGTTAAATGTGAAGCAACAGCGTTGTGAAAAGTTATTTGCCCCTTCCTGATCTCTTATTTTTTGCATATCTGTCACACTTGCATGTTTTAGATTATCAAACTATTACAACACAAACACAAAGTGTTTTTAAATGATGATTTTATTTATTTAGCGAAATTTAGCCCTATGTGACAAAGTTTTTGCCCCCCCTTCTTAACTCATTCATTAACTGTGACTGTGAGTTCAATCTACCAGCCACACCCAGGTCTGACTACTGCCATAGCTGCTGAATCAAGAAATGACTTGCATGCTAACATGCTCATAGCAACAGTGCTAACAGTTGTTATGAGCTCTTAATTTATTACTTTGGCAAGATGAGACTTGCTGAACCTGTCGTAAATAAAATGATGCACTAATGTTGAAGGGTCTACTACTTTGCAAGTAAATTGTGATAAAATAAATAACGAAGCTAAGATTTTGACCTATATATGCTTTAGCTATTAGATATTAGCTTTAGCTATTAGCTAAAGTCTATATCAGCATAGTGTGATTTTAGGAAACTGGAAAAGCTTTCTGTGATCTGTTCATCTATTTAAAAAAAAATATCTACAGCAGATATAAAGAATCAAAAAGTCACATTTTTAAGAAAGAGGAAAAATCCATTCACTGAGAGAAAAAAATGATTTTTCAGGGGGAAAGAAGGCTGAGGTATGCCAAATTATATAAGAACTGGACTGGTAATCACTAGTAAGAGATCTTTGGATAAATCCAAATTTAAAATGTTTGTTTAAATTAGTTTGGGGTGGAGATCTTGTCAAAATTGATGGAAATAGTAGGGTTGGATTGGGTTCCACCATGCAGTGCTATCTGGAAAGCATCTGATCTGATTGTTGAGTGATCCCAAACCCACTGCCAACACACAATGAAATGAACACACAATGAAACTCAAACTAAAAATCAGTCATGGATTGTCCTCCCCCCAGCCTGGACCTCAACACAATTGAAGCAGTGTGGGATCACACTGACGGGGAACAGAACAAAAGGCAGAAACCTCCAAAGATTAGCTTTGAATGTCCTTCAAGAAGTCTGGAGAACTATTCCTGAAGACTACCTAAAGAAATTACAAGAAACTTCCTCATAGAGTTTAGGCCGTTTTGACGAATAAAGGTGGTCACACCAAATAAAGCTCATCAGGGTTGTTGTCTGTTTTTGCCCTATATGCTTTTTTCTAGATATGTTTGCACACATTTCAATAAATTATTATTATTGTATTATTATTTAATTTCCCATTTTCATACTAAAATATAAAGAAGTAAGGGTTGGATCAAGATTTTTACGTAACGCTGTGTATTTTTTATCTGTAGTTTCTTAAGGAATGTAGAAATTCTGTCCCTGCAGGGACTTCCTGCATATCCACCATAAAGACAAAATGCACTGTAGCATCTTTGTATTTGACAGTATTTCTCTGTTGTTTACCAGAGCAGCTGTTAATTAATGCTTTGTTTATCTTCTACAACCGTGCAGACAACACGCTCTCAACAGTCAACCTCTTGTTGTAGTTGTGCAAGTAAATGCTCTGTAAATAAATATAGTAAGCAGGGGGATTTTTTTTTTAATAGGACTTCTACTTGACTTGTAGAGTATGTGCATGGCTGCACCTGTCTGTGCATCACACAGGTGCAGGCCTGTCTACATTAATAACATCTGCTCTGAAATGGGACCAGAATATTCAAATAGCAGCTTCTTCTTCTCTTCTCTCTACTGCAAATCATCCTAAAAAGCTGCAGAAAAAAATAAAGCTCAGTGAAAGCAGTTGGAGCGAGTCTCACTCTCGTGGCAGAATTCAACTGATTGTATTTCAGCGTTTCTTTGTAGCCTGATGATGACATTGGCGAGCGAGGCTATTTTTCAGTTGGGAATGGAGCCTGTGCGTCATCTTATTACCACATGCAATGCAGCGCCCCTGCAATTCAATTTCAAGTTTATTGAAATAGTTACACTTTGACTTTAGGTCCCATCAAGGAAAACTTTGATCTTGCTGAGCTAAAAGTCAGGAACTCATTTATTTTATATTATATACATATATAACATTAAGCCAGAGTTCATTTTATTTTCATAAAGTATGCATCTGTGTCCCAACAACAGATGAACATATCACCAAATTAAAGATATAACAAATATCTAAATGTTTACATTTACATACATATCAATAAAATTAATTAGCTTATTTTTCCTGCTAGCACTCAATACATAAGTATTTGCTCATGCACTTCTAGATCAAGACTTCAAGAAAAAGAAAAAGCAACTAGAAAAACATGGGTTACATTTTCCAGGATGATCACCAACGCAGTCACTGTTTCCCTTTGTCCTCGTTTTTTTTTTTGTTTTGATTTTGCACATTGTTCAATGCCGTTCTCACTAGACGGACTGAGAGATCAGAAAGTTTATTTGTATTCATTTGATATGCTTGTAAAATTAGCTCATCCATGATAATAAAATCACACATCCAATTCAATCAAATGCAAAACTGGCCGGGCATGAAATTCCTTTTGGAGACCCGTGAAGCGAGGCGGCAATAAGCAGTGCGGGGAATGAAATATACCTACGAACGGACGAATCGTGACTGATGGGATCGAAAGTATGAGATCTTAATCTAATGCCCAAGTCAGTGCCCTGGACTGTGAACTGTGAAAGCTCAGAAGAGTCAGTCAGACGTGAGGACAATATTGTGTTATTTTATAGTCTGAGGTCAAGGGTTTTTTTTAAATAATAAATTCTCTCAAACCTTTAAGGTGACCTCTTGCTCAAATTCTGCCTCGAGATTAAGACCCAGAACCAGAGGTTTCATTTGGTAGACGAGACCTGCTCGACAAAGCGCTATATCTAAAACAAAGCACCACTTGTGCTACAAGTGAATAACTTGTAAAGTCTGTTGTCAAGACAGATGACCTCATCCTTCCACCTGCATTGTAGAAGTTTGATTTGCTTCAAAACCCTGGATACCAAGGACAAAGGGCCAAACTTCTCATCATGGGAATCATGCCAGCTTCTATTAGTCTGGCTCGCCTTAAAAGCTTTCCTTCATTCTGCCAATATCACTGGGACAGGGCAAGACAAGATGAGCTGTTTGACCCCAGAAGTTAAAAAATGAGCCACACTCTAGATTTAGTGATGGACAAAAGCTATTTAATAGCTGTAATTTAAGCGTCATTACTCTTTCTCTTTGTCCAGTTTGGGGTCCTAGTTCAACCACATCTAACTCCACAGTAGACAGGAGCAACTGAGTAAACAGAGATGATGACCGCCTATTCCAATACATAAATGAATAAAAACATTATAACCATGCTAGTGGCTCAGTGAGGCTGTATTGAGGCTCTTTGATGTACAGAGGTAAATGCTAACATGCCAATATTTTACTATTCTAAATAGCAAACAAGCTAAACACAGTGAGGATCATGTGAATTTCATTTTTTGTTTTTTATCAAAAATCTAAGAATTTAAATTTAAAATTCAAGTTTAGATTTTAAAAAGGCAGATGGAGAATTAGGAAATGATACTGAGCGTTGTGGAAGGCTGGGCAGATCCCCATGTACTAAGAAGAAGTAAATAAAATAAAAAGGTTATATAGTGCTTAATCACAATCACAAGAGTTGCCTTTAGGTACTTTCTAGTGTAAGTTAAAGACCTTGCAATAACAGAAAGAAAACCCCAACATTCAGATAATCCCTTTCAAGCAAGCACTTGGTGACTGTGGGAAGGAAAAACTCCCTTTTAACAGGAAGTGACCTGTTTGGAAAGCCATCGGCTAGTTTGATAACTTCTGGGCTAAGACTTCTTGTTGAATTGTTGTCAGATGATATCAATGGTTTCATGACTGCAGTTTAGCAGTTGCAATCTTGGTTTTGCTGTCCACACTGTCTGCTTACCTCCATCCAACCAAGACCTGCTTAAAGGTGGCATTATATGGTACTCAGACTACGAGCTGACAAAAAACTAAAACCAGAACACTTCCAGTACCAAATGGAAATTGTGTCCCTTGCTAACAAATTCTGCATATATTCCTGATAAATCACCCAGAGGGGCAAATTAATATGTATGTCTTTTCCATGGTGCTCAAGGAAAGCTGAAGGGGCCACCTGAGTTATTTGGATTCATCACTTCATCCCTTCCAGTGGCAAAATAGAGAATGTCTTTAAACACTGTGAAATCAGGCAGCGTGAAGCACAAATTAAAGCCCTGGTCAGAACACTTCTTACCTCTTACACCATCTCCAGTGGAAATGAACTAATGGGAAAGATTTGCAGGAACTTGGCTAGAGCACAGTGCAGGCAACAGGAAACTGAAGCCTCACAGGAACACCATCACAGGACTCTCACTATCCTCTTTCACTGCCAGATAATCTGGGTTGGGTTAATTCTGGGTCATCTTATTATGCCTCACACCAGAGATGACAAAGAAGTAAGGTGGGAGGGGGTGGAGGGGTTGAGGTATGACCTCATTATCTCTGACACAGTGAACCGTGTACCGAAGTTTAAATTTTCTGTGGTAAGCACTATTGGACAGTTTAACATTTAATGCAGGTTGAGCTGCTTGAGGAGACTTGGGTGAAAACACCCTTGCTCACTACAGCAGGTTGTAAAAGAATACATGAAATAAAATCAAAAGGAAAACAATGTTTTTGATGTGAAGAAAAAAGAGATATCCAAGACAGAACAAAGCATTCCAAGGTGTACATTATGCATGATGGCCTCGTCACTTACATTCTTGAAGCCGCGGTAAAGAATCTGTAGCTCCTTTCGGGAGAACCGCGTCTGGGCTTCGAGTTGTTCCAGGCCTTCTGGGCGATGGCGGACTGCCGATAGTTCCAGCTCATCTTCGACGCTGTCTGGAGAGGAGAAAGAACAAGGTGAGACATGAAACGCGTCCTTGCAAATTTGTATTTTTGACACTAGAATTTTAGCTATCTTGTTACATTTTCAGCAAATAGATAATCAAATAAAAAAAACAAAAAAAACCAACAACAACAAAAAGCTCCATTCACAATGCCAGAACTCAACATTTTACTACAAAATGTTATTGGCTCATGGGAAAATCCATTCAAGCGGATCAGTTCTGAAGTCCTTTCTTTGCCTCACATGCTACATTCCTTTATCGGACCCTTCACAAAACCAAACAAAAAATCTGAATGCTCTTTTCTTCTCTACAACAAACATGACAGCAGAGGTAATTAGAGTTTTTTTGAGACCCCGGAACACAACAAGCCCAAAGAGCCTCTTCATGAAAGAGGGTAGCTGAACCCTGTGAAATGTTTTAATGGGCCTTTAATGATAGCAGATGCTGTCTGGGCACTGTCACTGACTGCACTGTCCTCACAGCACAGCGTTTGACTTGTCTTGTGCGGGGTCTCTCATATACCTGAAGTGTGACACACTAAGTGCCTCATTAGCTCGAAGAGGCTTATTACGGCCCACAGTCAAAAGGCCAAATCTTTAAACGGACCATAATTAACCTGTTGCTATGGAACAAATGCTCTGCATCCGTTGGGGGATGTCAGCTGATATAAAGGAAATAAAAATGGCTATTTGATCTCATTCTCATCATCATATTAGTCCAGAAACTGTAGCATTACAGCGGTGTAATTAACAAATTTCTGTTCACCTGACCTGTTTAGCATCACATATTCTTTTTTGCGTCACCGTGTAATTACGACGAAACTAATCTGCAATATGCGAGTGTTTTGTTTCAGTGAAAGATGACAGTTTTGACTGTGAACAGCAGAAAAACATTTTTATTCCCTTCAGAAAAGAAAGAAAAGATTTCATGTTGCAGCTAAAATGCAGCTCCGTCAATCATGTGTGACTAAAGCCTGTACTGGCTGAGAAAAGACACAGAAACAAAAGAACATCTTAGACAACAGCAACAAAATCATCAGAGAGACAGAGTGAAGGGAGAGAGAGGGAGAGAAAGCCTTGGAAGAGCCACTTGCTTTGATTAGTGGAGGATGGCTTTTTGGCTGTGGAGCATGGAAAGAGCCTCATGAGCCGAGCTCTCACCCCGCGCTTGTGGACAATCTGAGGGTAACCTGGGAAATACAGCATTAGGGTCTTGTGGGTTACCCAGGCAACTAAGAGCCTCAGAACACTGTAGGACGCTGGACATGCAAGACGTGAGGGTCTAAGTTTGGATATGAAGCTAGCTGTCTTCAGGACAACAACACAGTGTTTTTGCTCTGCAGCAAGCAGCCTCAAAATGAGCTCGGCTTGTGTCATTTTGGCTGTTACTAATTAGCTTTTAACACAATGCATAGCACACTGATGAGTAGTTTTTAGCTATTCAAAATCCTCAGTATAGGTCAAAAAAAAGAAAGATGGATGAAAAGAAAGGAATTTTTGCAACATTGTTCTGCTCATTCTGAGGAGACGTTGTCATGGCAATATCTCCCTTCAAATGGGAAACTCATCCCCAACAACAGGTTGAAGCATTTGCACCAAGGACGAAAAATTTATTTTACATCATGTGCCACCTACAACCCACGTAATTTTCAGATTACAAGGCCCAGCGACGCTCTCCTTCCTGTTACTGTGACGACTTTAACTGCACTTTTATACCAAGAGCTCTTAATATAAGGAAAGTATGACAAAAAATATGTCAGACGTTTGCTTTGCTTTAGCTTTTTTTGATTGTTTTTACTGTGGATATGTTGTAAAAACCTTAAATTTCTACAGTAGACAGTAGAAAACAGGATATTTTCTTGCATTTATCTGTTTATCTATTACTTAATTACTTTGGTGCATTATGAATGACCATGGAGGACGTCTTTATCAGTATGAATAGTGGCATTGTAAAATTTATGAAAATGCAGTTAAAAGTCCAGCTTTTATGCAATCCTTCAAATTTCCCAAAGTCTTTGCCAGGTCGATTTGGTCCCTAGGCCTAATGTTTGACACCCCTGAGCTACACTACACTTCTCTTAATCCAGCCGAGAAACATCTTAGTCTGAACCAACTGGCAGATCAACAGACACTTTTATTCACTAGCACTGCAGAAGTTATCTCTGAATTTACTTCACGGACAGTGCTCCTAACAGATAAAAACAAGACCAACGAGGAACTTCTTCTTCTGTTTAGCTGAAACAGTACAAAGCTACTCCCAAGACCATCTACGAACTGTCTTTGGATTCTGTGCTTTGTCTACTGAGCTAGTCCTTGGCTTTTAAACAGATGTGCCCTTATATCTAGATTTAGTTGAAAAGTAAAACAGAAAGAGTTGTCCTTTAGGCTGAGGTTTATTGCAAAGAGTGTTCAAGCCCTTTAAATTTACCCACTGAGCAATTTTATGTTGATTAGAGAAAGGCCTAAAAGATCTGTCAAAGCCTGTAATTCCTACTTGTGTCAACAGTGTTTAGCTCCGTCACCTTGAAGCTGCCAATTTGGGGTTTGCAGAGGTGGTGAAGAGGAATGGCGTCTTTTTAACCTTTTAAACCAAATTTATACTTAAAGTAGCATCTTTGTAATGACCTGAGAAGATGGCTTTTCCCTTTCCAAGAGAACAGATCTTAACAGTGTTTAGGTGTCTGTGAAAGTTGCTTTCGACCGTGGCTCAGGGGGTTGAGAAGCGTATCGGTAACCGGTTCGATCCCCCGGCTCTCTGTCCTGGTCGTTGTGTCCTTGGGCAAGGCACTTTACCCTACCACCTACTGGTGTTGGCCAGAGGGGCCGATGGTGCGATATGGCAGCCTTGCTTCTGTCAGTCTGCCCCAGGGCAGCTGTGGCTACAACTGTAGCTTGCCTCCACCAGTGTGTGAATGCGAGAGTGAATGAATAGTGGCATTGTAAAGCGCTTTGGGTGCCTTGAAAAGCGCTATATAAATCCAATCCATTATTATTATTTCAATGCCATTTTGGTGTATTTTCTGCAGTTTTGATGCGGGTTGGTGAAGCTATGAACTACAGGTTCAGGACTGCAGAAGTGTGAGATAGGACTAGTTCGCTGGTTACATTATTAATCAATCTCCAAGCACATTGTTCTCCATCAGTGTAAAAGACGGGCTCTGAATGTGATATGGAGGCTCATGACCTCGGGTCACGATGTAAGTTAATATCTCATCGGGTGTCATCTCTTCTCGCACATAATCAAGCTGGTTTCTTGACAAATGTGTTGCCTCCTCTTTAATTTAACAAAGTGGTGCATTCAAGGTAGGAATTGATGACCCCGCTACACACCCAAAAAAATCTTGTGTTGTATGCAAAACCAACGCGTGAATATGAAAGCCATAAAGTAATAAGTCCACAGTGTTGCCCAAAAACTCCACGAGCCCATTTGCCCTTCCTCTCCAGGCTATTGTGAAAAATTCAGTTCAAGGTTTGACGGCAGCTGTGGGTGTTAAGACGAGTGCTGTGAACCATTTGTCAATTGTGCACCAAGCACAAGGCAGCGCTCGCAGGAGAAAATAGTAATAGAGATGTAGCTCATGGCATGTTTATAACTAACTAGTTAAGATGGCTGATGAGAGTTGCAAGAGGTCTCTATAAACCTGGGCTATAAAGGGATGTAGTAGTAACAATTACATCATTGTACAGAGGGCATGGAAATAGTGTCATAAATCTGCAGCCTACACTGTCATGAAGTGTAGAAGCAAACTGGAGGTAGAAGAAAGAGAGAAATGATCCTTGAAAAGGTTGTTGAATTAATGATAACTAATGTTAATATTGTTCTTTTGGATCATCTACTGTTTGGATCAGATGTTGCAGACTTACACTAACGATGTATCATACTTATTTGTATGAATTCATGTATAAGCAAAAGTGGCTGAATTGGAGGAGGAAGAAGCTCAACCAAGCTTAGCCTTAAGTGCGAATTTTTACTCCTAATTTTGACAAATACTTATTCCAGAGAGCTGGAAAGAAGCCCCGGCAGAGTCAATATTTAATGTGTCTCTGCCTTTTCAGCCTCACAGTGTATAAAGCATAAACAGTGCACACTGTGTTAATGGACCACAGGCAAACCGCAGAGCAGATGGTTAAAAGCTCTTAGGTCTGGCCTCATAATGACCAACATTATTGTGCAGAACAAACTTGTTTGCTGTGAACAATCTCTTTCTGTTGAAGGCCGCTTCATATTGCCTCCTCTGATAACACAATAACTTTGAGATTTAGAGGATGAAGCTCTCATCTGTTCTCGTTACCTCGGTGACACACACACCTTCCTACCTGAGTGGAGAGGAGACGTCTGAGTGCCCCCTCACTGAGGTTGAACTAGACAGATGTTGCTTTTGTTATCAAGATATATTGGTCTTGACAGCAAGCTGGCTTCATCTGGAGGCATTACTGTGCTCCAGAGAGGCACCTTTTTCTACCTTGGAGCTCAAGGACATCATGGACAGGGGCCTTTAGTAGATTCTTTAGCAGCTGAACCGAGTTTAGGAGGCAGCGCAAACATTACAACGAATCTCGACTGTACTGAAGCGACAGGATGACTTAGCAAGAAGGCAATAAAAGCTGATCTCTAAAGTGGAACGGAGTAGAGCTTGAGTGACAGAGTGCTTAATCAGGCAAGAAAAGAGCAAACAGTCACGGCTGTCTGATTAACAGTTGCCCTTTTATTTTATTGACAAAAAGGATTCGACGCTCGACTGTGTGTGAATCTGTGAAGAACAGCTCAAGCTGTGTCCTCCTGCCCCTTTGATAAAGGTCAAAGGTTGCACCTTTGCCGGTATTGCACCGCTTGTGTCCAGTTCATTAAAGGCAATAAAACCGCTGTTGTTGTCCTGAAGAATTAAGTATATCATGCAAGTCTAAACATTTACTTCACTGGTTTAGTTAATACGTGCCAACTCATACCGTCATGCCATACTTTTGCCTTCCTCGAAAGAAAAAAAATGACCTT